ATGAAACAAGAGAGACAAAGAAGAGAACACGAGGCGAACTCGATATATCGTGGGATAAAATAGAAAACAGAGCTTAAATAAAACAAAATAAAGTCATCTGTGGTATTAGTTTAGTAATAATGTAACGCGAGGTAACAATTTGGAGGTCCCACCGAGACGAAAAGCATAATTGAAGGTAAAAGAGACTATTTTGTTTGTATTTTTGAGCGAAGAAAATATGTGATTGCATAATTTATGTACATTGTTGTGCGAGGTATCTGGAATATTATCAAGTATTAAATGGTACTATACAGCCAAAAGTGTGGCATTTGTGACTAGTTTAATCAAGAACACTCGTTTCTGGACAATTAAAGTGTGTTAACTTTATATAAACAGCAGGTATTGATTGTTTTATTAAAACACAAACATATATGTGTATGAAGTGAATATAAAACAAACAATATGGCCGACATTGAGGATTTACAAATTCAATTTCAAATGTTGCTGTGTCAAGCGAGCATGGATGTTGTAAAACCAATCAGGGGCAATAGGACAGGTGTAGTGTTGTTAAATAGAAAGTTAGAAATGGTATTATACTTACTCATGTATTATAATTATGTTTAAAAGATCAGAATATTCATAACTTCTTATTTTGTTTCATAAATAGTTCTTTAATATTCGAAACAAATTCCACTTCTGCTTCGTCTGCCATCACCATGTTTACTCGTCCCAATCTACATGCTACACGGCATTGCCGCCCCTCCTGGCAAAATAATAAGCAAGCGAGAAAAATTAAGAAGAAAATAAGAGGGTAGGAACATCGTTGTCATAAGCTGGATGCAGTGACACTTCCATAAAGGCACAAACCTATCCATAACTTCCATATATGGCACAAACGTATCCTCGACGCGTTTTATAACGCGTTTTAAATTTGTAGGGATGACGTGTAACGCTGCTTCCCGCCCATGACAATCTGAATTAGTCATGTGATACAAGATTGCGAAAGCTGATACGCCCAGAGTAATGACACGCCCACGATGTTCCTACCCTCTTATTTTCTCCTTAATTTTTTTCGCATGCTGATTATTTTGCCAGGAGGAGCGGCAATGTCGTGTAGCATGTAGATTGGGACGAGTAAACATGGCGATGGCAGACGACGCAGATGCGGAATTTGTTTCGAATATTAAAGAACTATTTATGAAACAAAATAAGAAGTTATGAATATTCTGATCTTTTGAACATAATTATAATACATGAGTAAGTATAATACCATTTCTAACTTTCTATTTAACAACACTACACCTGTCCTATTGCTTGTGAACCAATAGCCGAACGTCTCGGCATTGAGAAGGCAAACTGGAAAGAGAAGAAATCCCAAATGGTTGGTTCATTGTGTAAACTTGTGGACGGTGAACTTGATAAAAATGAAACAGATACACAGCGTGTACAAATTCTGCAAGACGTAATCGGACGTTGCAAGGAAATGATTGCCCAAGAATCTGGGGACGATACAGCAGAAAAAGAAGTAGAAGCAGTTGAAGGTAAAATAAAAGAACTAGATGAAGCAAAAGCAAAATTAGAAAAAGAGGCAGAAATTTTGAAGGAAAAACCAATGCTAGCAGAAAACTCTTCATATTTTGGCTTAACGAGTGCACTACGACGACAATTTAAAATAACCTGACAGATCGGTGAGCCGAATCAAAAGGATAAACTGAATTACACTTCATTTGTTCGACAAATCGAAGCCGGTATAGAGCAGGGATTCACAGAAGAGGAAGTAAAGAATGGTGTAATTCGGGCAATAAGCCCGGGTATGGTTTTGCGAAGTTACCATGAAACATTCAGTGACTTAATGCTAGACCAGCTACGTAAGATCATTCGAAGTCACTATGGCGTGAAAGATACAACCGAAATGTATGAGAATTTGGCCTCATTTTGTCAAGGGCCTAAGGAGACCCCCCCCCCCCCCCCCACCC